TGAGAGCTTTAGTAGGTCTAAATCGGGCAACCCGAATAGGTAATAAAAAAAACTCGGTGGGTGCATTAGTCGCCCAGTTGAGAGAAAGATATAGTCTTCAATTTTGTCTGTTTAGTGCGGCACTAAACAGGGAAAGCTTTTTTAAAAATTAGTTCAAAAGTGTAATTGCGACAGACCAATCTCAACGCAATTTTTTCTTTTTTCTATAAATTGAAGAAAAAATTTGAATCTTGTTTTCACTTTTTGTTCCAATTCGGTAGTGAGTCCACTATCTTTTGAACATCTTGAAACCATCTGACTGTGCTAGTATTTCATCTAACAACCCATAATTCATTGCTGCCCATAAATTGGAGAGACGCTTTATCGTGATAACTTAATCAGATTCGTGGTCACTCGTTAGTTTCAACTTTGGAACATTATTAGAATGTTTTATTATAATTACTTGTCAGACAACAAATGCGATAACCAGCAAATCAAGTTAGTAAGCGCCAACTAAAAAAAAGTTAAGATCAGTCTAGACAAGTCTAGGATACCTAAGCTCGGAGATAGCTCTAGGAAGTTTTTATCGAAGGAATAAAGGAATACAATGAACGAACCTTTTGTGGAAAAAACCAAGGAGCTTCTGAACTAGAAGGGGAAGAAAGCTTCGGGCGAAATGGTTGATACAAGGAATCAAAAGGATTCGGAAGACAAACGAACAACGTTGGAAGTAGAGATGCATCGGAGCCCTGCTCAGAACGAAGATCTAGCGGGACATGGAACCGGAGGGAACCGGACCAAGCAAATAACGAGTGAATCCACTCCTGTAGAACAAGGACAAGACTTTGCAAGTTTGACCGAGACTTTTGATCGAGAAGAAATGTCGGAAATGTCCGACATTTCAATTGAAAATCCAGCTCACCTACTGGCCATACCATGATGCAAGGGGTGTCAGGGAATGCAACAACGTCTTCCTCAATCTCATAACGAGTCAAGAGCACTCTGGGAAGCATTTTTCCGTTTTTAATGGGAACAGAAACTGATGATGAGGTAGACACTCAGGCAGAGGGTGACGATAACGAAGAAATTGAGGAAATTGAATCTCAATTGAGCTTCAGCAGTTCAACCCATGATATGATACCTGTCAACAAGAAGCATGGCTCTTCCGATTAGTTTGGTACGGTCAGGATGATAAACACGGCCAGCAATGGGATGGACCATACTGGTGAATTCGTGACAACTGCCAATTCAACACGCAAACAGAATTAACTAGGGTCACCAGGTCAGGGACCACACTGAGGTAATTGAAGGCGGAGTATGAAGGACCTTCGAAACAGAGAGATGAGAGAGGAGTTTCAACAAGGTGTTGACAGACTTGCTTTTATGGAGGAGGTCGGGGCGTAGTAGAGTGCTACGGGATCTAGTCTATTGTAAAAACAGGTCTCAATAAAAGCGTCGTAGGAAAGCTAACTCCAGTTAAGCACAAAAGATTGACAGTATCGAGACAGTCACGGTATACGAACCCGCCGGTGGATACATGGAGATGATGAAATACAAAATTTCGGCTGGCGGATATCTGATAGCCTTAGAAAACAAAGGTGCTATGGAGTGTTACCTAGAAGAAAACATCAAGGGTACGACTATGATGCAAATGGATTATAGAACGCTAGCCTCTTCAGAACTGCACACGGAAACAATGGATCAACTTGTGAGTTTACCGTGGAGGGCTGTATCATTACACCATTTTGAAGAAGAAAAGCGAATCACCCCCAAAGTACACGCTCTGATAGCGACACCGTCCGTCAAAACTGTATTGCAACTCAGACTTGCTTGGTGTATGACGAGACTGCAGATGGGATAGTATGGTTCGAAAGAACAAAAAAAGCGAAGGAAGGAAGGTGATTTTAATGACGCATTTATGAGACCTGGTGATTTGTGAAGGAGCGGCATTGCCGTGTGCAAAACGGAGGGACGCTCACTGTTTTGTCCTTTTTGTTGGAACAGATATCGGCACCAGCGCAGAACACCTGCACGAACATGTTGAGAGAAGGCAACTAAGTCGGCAAGACCTTGCTCTTACAAGCGCTATTGGATATTCATCAAAGAAAGCCACTGAGAATGAACATGAATGAAACTGTGGAGCTAGAAGCCATAAGCAAGATCGATGAAATCCGGAAATTTTCTCACAAGGAGCTAAGGTTCACGAAAGAATCGATGGCGACACCTTTGAAGTCCAGTGAATACTGTGGACCGATCAGAAAGAAGTCGTACCACTATGTGTCTGGAATTGTTGGACTGGCGTACAATCGTTCCATCAATGAAGACATAAGCGACTGCTACTTCGATTATAAACAAGCAGTGTTGCTAAGGTTCTGGTTGTCGAGAATATCAAAGATAAGAAGTATTGCCAGTCAGCAAGTCAAGTTAGGACTTGTGTTGGAAGAAAAGGTCACTGTACCTTCTATACCGAAATCTGATAACAGGGTGGAGTTTGCCCGAGTTCAAATGCCGAGCGACACAATATATACACAGAGAATTGAATGCAGATTGCCATTTGCGAGACTTTGACACCATCTACATTCTGATGACTACAGCCTCTAGTAGCAACCGAGAGGAAAATGTGGAGTTGCCTGGCTGGGAACCGGAAAACTGGGTTAAACCTGGTAAATGTCTGGCAAAAATCTATGAACTGGAAGGTCACATGCGTGAAGACAATTGCGAGAAAACATTAACAACTAATGATATTTTTTGGCAATATAGTGATGAAGACGAGAACGGAAACGGAACTGATCGCAGATTGCCTCGCAGGAAACAAAGTGAATCTAGTGACTGCTGAGAAAAATGCAATAGACAACAAGGACGAAATCCACGTTATGAAGGAAAAGGATCCGCTGCTGGAAGCGTCAGGAAAAAGAAATAAGAGGAGCATCACGATAATTCTTGATGAATTTCGACTTCTTTGTCTGCCAAAAACATGGTGTTATGCTGGGCAACTTAACCTGCTGTTGAAGATCAAAATTCAGTGAGGACATTGACTGGACTGTCTGGGATGAATGTGCCGTTTGACCAGAACGACTTGAAAACGCATGTCATGAACGAACTTTAAATCGAGCAGTTTTTGCGTACAATGTGTTGATTTTGACAATTAACGTGCTTAATCGACGAAGGGAACGAACCGAGAGGTGTCAGTTTGGCATGAATTAATGGTTTTTAAAATTGGTTGAAGATTTTTTTTTTGCGATATCTGAAAAGCGCAAAAATCATAACGACGATTTTTGCTAGTCAGAACCAGAAATACCTTGATTTAAGCAGGCAGAAATAAGAACAACGAACGTGAAAACCAGAGAGCATTCCGGAAAGTAACGATTGTGCTGTCACACTCTTTACCATGCTGACTTCATCCATCAGGAAGGCTGAGCGCCAGGATTGAAACACTTCCTGGTATTTAAGAGAGAGCTTATTGAACTGGCTTTGCTAGATACGGCTTAAAGCACGTGATGCTGTGTTTAGACGCTAGCCAGTCGTTTTAGAAATTAGTTTTAATTTCAATCGTTGTGTATTTCCGGCCGAATGTTACAAAAGTCAATAAATTAAGAAAAAAGCCAATAAATGAAGAAAATGCGGAGAAAAGCCAATAAATGGTCTTAATCAAAAGTAAAAACAAAAACAAAATGATTTTTTGAAGGGTCGAAAGCCCTCTCAGAGAAAAGTATTTATGCTGATGATTGCTCAATTAAGCTGAGTCTAAATGCAACTGTTTGCGAAGAGCTCTCAGTCTGATGATTCGTGGTATCTAATTTTTCATGGAAATTTTTTCAAAAAAAAAAGAGCTAATCCGAATCTTACAATAGTCGGAGCAACAAAGAAGCCAAAAAAGAAATCCGGTCACTGTTGGTTCTGGGAAAAAAAAATCTTCGAGTTTAAAGAAAATGCGGAGAAAAGCCAATAAATGGCTTCAATCACGAATAAAATCAACACCAGTAGTTTTGTGAAGGATCTGAAGCCTTAATAGAAGAAAGTATTTATGCTGATGGTTACTCAACGAAGCTGAATCTAAATGCAACTGTTTGCGAAAAGGTCTCAGTCCGATGATTGATTTGTGATATCTTATTGTTCATGGAACAAAAATAAACTATTCCGAATCCAAAGTTTCTCCCCACTTTCAATGGTCGGAACAACAAAGAAGCCAAAAAAGGGTTCCGGTCACTGTTGGTTCTGGGAAAAAAACTGAAATCGAATTTGAAGAAAATGCGGAGAAAAGCCAAAAAATGGCTTTCATAACAAATAAAATCAAAACTAGCGGAAAATTTTTGATGGACGAGATCAAATAGGATACAATATTACCACGGGGAGACAAGCTGTTCCCTTACTGTTTGTCCTATTCATCACAGATTTGGACCTGTACCTTCAATGAAACCATAAAACGACTCTTTTCTATCCAGATTTTTTTGTCATTGGACCCCGAAATTTTGAGTACATAGCTGGTAACCTTCAAAATCTGGAGTCGTGCGGCAATATGAATTATCTGGAAGAACATATTGGAAAAACAAAGATCATTAAGTTCAGAAAAATTTAACGCCGAATAGCACATCTTAAGGTCCTGATTTGACTACTTGGGTGGTCATGCAAACGAACCTTCATGTCAACAAACATCGACGAAACATCCAGGAACAAAGCTGTAATCGCTCTTAAAAAAATCGGCACAAAGCTTAATTTCTAGAAAATATAATTACTTTCTGTGAAAAAACTACTCGACTCAATAATCATATCATCCGGAACACATAGTCTTGAGTTTTACCTCAATAAACTAAAACAGACAATTATGGAGAGACATAGAAAAATATGATACATGGTGTTTTCAAAGATGGGCCGGAGTGCCCAGAAGACTACCAACAGAATCGTTTATAGATAGTTTTTTATAAAGACGACCTTAAAAAAGCATACATTAAAGGAAAAATTCGACAAGAGAAAGTTCGTGATAAACTGTTGAGAGAAATGTTGTTAGCCTAATTGTGGTGATAAACTTATTAAATAGTTTCATGTGATATGGTACGCTCATAATGGTACGCTTGTAAGAAGAAGGCCCGGGACGGGAATTTAGAGACAAACTGGTTAAGCCGCGATACTCCCCCTCTACCCGGACATCCCCGCCGGAACCTCCATTCGTGAAAAACCAGGTTGTAATCGCTTTTATTTCTTTTTGTTATTTGTTTTTAAAATTCAATTCTCTACAATCCCTTTTACAATCTGTTCTTTCTCTTTTTTTGCCTCTTTTGTACCCTATTCAGTGAATGTCCGTGCCGAAGTACACGCCGAAGTGGCTACCCAATTGGAGCAGGAAACCGTTATTTGGAACCTCAAAGTCTAATACTGCAGCCCCAAAGATGTCGGAGCCACGGTTCACTCGTACAGAGGTGCAAAGCTAGCCGACCATGCCGCTACTGTCTCGCGCTACCCCTCGCAGAAACTGAACTGTGTTAATATAGTAGCCAGCTTTAATAATAACTCATCTACGGTTTCAGACTTTGCTTATGATTGGAGATTTTTAATAAATTTGATAATTCATAAATTTAAGCCAAATATGTTTATTATCCCCAAAACCATCCCCTCTGCAAACAATCTCTTCATAAACAGCAAACTTGTTGCTCTAAACAATTTTTTGTTTCTCCTTAAAGATACATTTTATCGCTCAAGAATCCGAACTGTTTCCCCCAATCTAAACGTTAACTTTAGTGCTACTACGTTTTGTAAAGATGGTTTTCATTTTTCTTTCTATGGTAAAAAAATTTTGAGTTGTTTGCTCGCTCAGCTAACTTGTATTTTTTTACCATAAAATTACCCTCCTCGCTGTCAAGTTTTGGCGATCAAACGCACTGCCATATTTGCAAACGCCACCTCCGAAAAGGAGGCATACGGTGTGCCATTTGCAAAGCATACATCCATGTCTCATGTGACGAGCTACAGAGCAGCAAATTTTATTACGATGGGTTCTCTTGCATACATTGCATCCCCGAGTTTTTCAAAAAAAAGTCCAACTCCACCAACAGACGAACAAGCACAGCCCCATCCCAACCAAAGAAGAAACATCACCGACAACACCCGAAACAAACGTACTGCCCAACACAACATAATCTAATCCATCGCCCCCAGCAATCACTACAGTCCTCTTCGACCCCTGGTAACTTATCGACCAAGAACTTGAATTTCAAAATTACAACATATACAAAAATTTTGTTAACTGGAAACCGCGTTTCATAGTTCTAAGCAAGATCAAGCCCGGTTTCCAATTGATGGAATTACTGAACTAGCAGCTGTTGTCATTAGTAGAAGAAACACCAAATTCTAACGTCGCAATGAAAGCAGCAATGATTCTCCCACATCTGCTGCTCCCCAAAACTAAATCAGAAACAAACGGATTAAATTGCAAAACTATGAGCCGCCGCATAGTTTTATTGAAGCAAGCCTTACTAGACGAACTTTTCACTGAAGCGAAAGCTCTCCAAATTAGATATCCAAAACAAATAAGTGCAAAGAAAACGAGGAAATTAAGCAATTCGTTATGCTAATGAGGACAAGCAAAATATCTGTCGGTATGAGCTGCCTCTCAGACAAGAAAAGAAAATGCGTACTTCCCCTAAACGAAGTCACTGAAGAAAAACAATCCCTAGCCGAAACAGTGAACACTAACTATATAACTGAAGTAAGTGAAGACAAAATGCCGTACCACTCCTCTATATTCAAACAAATAAACGCCAAGACAGTACAAAAATCAACCCTAAAATCAAACGGAAGCCATGGTCACTCAGATCTAGATGCGTGCGAATGGAGAAGGATATTATTTGACCACAATCAGACATCCATTGAGCGTTGCAAAACAATAGCAAAGCTATCCTTTACAAGAGCAAGTAAAGTTCTCCCCATGAAAAACTAACGGCGTACAACTCGTGTCGCCTGATACCTCTGGACAAAATTTCAGGGGTACGGCCCATTGGTATAGGCGAGGTTCTGATTGGCAAAACAATCACCCAATGTACACAATCAGACCTTAAAAACCTCGGAAAAAAATCCAAATCTGCTTAGGCCAGAAATGTGCAATCGAATGTGCTATCCACAGCTTGAGGAACAATTTTGGGAAACCGGAAACAAACTCCATACAATTTATTGATGCAGAAATCGATTTAAATCGCTCAATACAGAAGTTGCCCTAAAAATATCGAAATCCTTTGTCCAGCTCATATAAATATCTCCCAAAAATATATGTCAATAACACGGTTTTGACATCTGCTGAAGTCACAAGGCAAGGTGATCCCCTCGCAATGGCTTCGTACGGAATTGGGATAATCCCACTAATTGAGCTCTTGCAAAACCCAAATGTCACCCAAAAATGGTATGTAGATGACGGAAGCGCTGCAGGTGATCTTAGGAAACTCCGCGCAATACTGCACAACCTGGATTTGCACGGAAAGGATTTCGGATACCGTGTGAAGCCTTCTAAAAGTCAACTCATAGAAAAGAAAAACCGTCGGGAAAGCGCCATAAAACTATCCGAAGGTTTAATTATTACAATGGTAGACGGTTTCAGAGTCGTTGTATCGGTTATAGGAACACTATCAGCTTGCGATAAAAACATGGAAAGCGAAACTGAAAAGACAACTGCCCTAACTGAAAAGCTTTCCAAAATAGCTAAAACATCACCACAAAATGCATACTCCTGCTACAAAAAGGGATTTCAAAATAAAGTAAGCTTTCTAACCAGAACAACTCCGGAAGCTTTCAAGAAAATGGATGAAATTGAGAAAAAATTAAGACAGTAGCTGCTTCTTTGTACTACTGGTAAAAACCATATAATCTATTAAAATCGCTGACTTTTTGCACTACCACTAAGAGTTGGACGATTAGACCTCCTCAGTAACACGGACTTTTCCAGAAATTATGAGTGGTCACGAGCCATTTGTGATCTGTTAGAAAACAGTGATTAAAAAAACGGAACAAACTCTGATAATTCGAAACCTCCAAACTGAGAGACAGACCGTCACACTCTCAAAAAAAGCTAAACTTATGGACAATTGCTCAACAGAAAAAAAACTGATAAATCTAGCGCCACAGAAAGGCTAAGCTTGCTACATTTTAAAAACACAATTTTTCCCTCAACAAATCAGAGTTTAAATATGGATTACTACTGAGATATGGATGGGAACCACCAAACACTCAGCAAACATGCCCATGTGGACAACTGTTCTTTCTGACCCACATTCTACAATGTCCCAAAAGTGGATACACTCAACTTAGACATATTGAAATTCGCGATATTTTTGCGACACTCCTAGACGAAGTATGCTATGATGTTGAAATAGAGCCGAAACTTCAATCGCTGGAAAGCGAAAGCTTTCACAACAAAACAACCGCTACTGAAGATGACGCTCGATTTGACATCAAGGCAAATGAACTATGGGGAGGCCAGTTCAGCCGAACTTTTTCGTTGTAAAAATTTTCAAACCCCATGCTAAATAACGCCCTAAGACTACATCTAACGCCTACAAATGTCATGAGGGTGTCAAAACATTAAAATACTAACAACGAATTCTGGATGTGGAACACAGCAGCTTTGTTCCAATAATTTTTGCGTGTACCGGAGGAGCAGCATCAGGCTCTACAAAAACCATCCAGAAACTAACAGAGAAACTGAGCGAAAAACGGAACGAAGCATACTCGGACACAATAAACTTTATTAGAACAAAATTAAATTTTGCACTTCTGAAGAGTGCAAATTTCTGCCTAAGGGGGCGCAAAAAATGTAACATTCGCCCGGAAGATACATATCGACGGATAACAAAACTAAGTCTTAAGACGACTGGCTAGCGTCTAAACAGAGCTTTGCATGTTTTTCACCGTCTCTACCAAGCCAGTACTTTTCGGTGGTCTTTCTTACATCAGGCTGACAAAAACGTTACTGTTCTCCGGCTTCGACCAGAACGCTCAAATTAACTGAATTACATGCAAAGTTAGTGAGCTCATGGCTGGGTCTCTGTATCCCCAGACCACGAGGTCACTCCTAAAAACAGGGCTACTACTTATCATATTACTATTGTTTTTGTTCAGTAGATAAAAATCATCATCTCCATCGAAGATGGATCAACCCTTTCCCCCAACTCCTAGCACCTCATCCTTGTCAAAACTAATCAAAATATCAGTTAAATTCAAGTCAGGACATGACAGGATGCTAAAATTCAATACAAGTTCATAAAAGTTCCCGTCCCGAGACCCTTCCGGATTCTTGAATCCGGCGAATCAAGCTCCTTAACCTCAGGTTCACGCTAACTCGGAGGGCTGGCTTCTACCCTTCACCGTTGTTCGCAACGGCCTTGCAACTATTGTAACAGCACAATAGTTGCAACTCGGAACGTCCTCTGCTGCTCGGTAGTTCGTTGTTGTTTTTTAGTCTCGATTTTCGTACTGTTCGTAATCGCAGATAAAGTTGTTCTGTTTCTTTCTGCTATTTTAGCCAAAATGGCCGTTTTAACATTTCTCAGAAATGTTACGTCATCACTTCGAAAAATTAAAATTTAGAATTCCAGAATCTTCTAGCCTTCACCGTTTGGCCAATCATTCAAATAACGTCCTTATCCGTTCTAAATCGCCAATTCGGAAGGTTCACTGCTAAAAATCCTGAATTCTGCAGAGACTGCATTTTGGCCATTCTGGTCGAATGTCACATACTCCCCGGACAGTCCGGTCAATGTCCTCATTGAATCGCGCAATATTCTAAATGGTTACAGTGTCATCGAACAGAATTTACAAAATGCACGAAATTACTTTTACCTACGTCACATCGACTCACTGCAGAATATAAATGGCATCATACTACATCACTATAGCCTTCAAATTCTTTCATTAATCTGCACATTGAGGATATGACTTAAGATAAAACATATTTTCTGACTTCCAGTGTCAATATCCCGATTGAAACTTTTTCTCCTAGATTTAAAAGGTGTTGGCTTGCAGGACAGTCCTGCCAACCAACAAGCTAAAATTA